TTTCTCTAATATTTTTAGAAATCTTGCTAGCTAATTCTCTATTCTTTTTTGTTATGAAATATGTTGCCTCCCCTTTTCTTCCTGCTCTAGCAGTTCTACCAATTCTATGTAAAAAATTTACAACCGTGGTTGGAAAGTCATAAAGAATCACATGATTTACAAAAGTTGTATCAATTCCTCTAGAAGCAAGATCTGTACAAACTAAAATTTTAGAATTGGGTTCCTGATTACGAAATGCTTCAAGTTTTGTGGTACGTTCATTTACATCTCCAAATAGTCCAATTACTGGAAATTTTTTTGTTTTCAAAAAACTTTCTAATGCATAAGCACTCACACGAGTATTACAAAATATCATTGTGCTATGTTCCTCCGTATAATGTTTTTTTAAAACTTCTAAAATTGCTGCGCTCTTGTTATAATTATAATTTTTCATGTCAATAAAATTATGTTTAATATTAGGTAAAGCTTTATGAAGTGAATGACTAGTTATGCTTTTAATATTAGGAAATTCCCGATTAAGCATTTCATTCACAGGTTTAGGTATCGTTGCAGATACTATAATTATTTGGTATGATCTGGTTTGATTTTTTCCCGAATTTTTTACTTTAGTAATAATATCTTGAACTTCTTCTCCAAACCCTTTACCAAACATTGTATCAGCTTCGTCAATAACAACGTATTTTGTATCTGCAATATTAATAAATCCTAGCTCAATATATTCTAAAAGTCCTGCTGGGGTTGCTATTACTATGTCAACTGGCATTTCTAAAGTTTTCTTGACAAATCTACGATCCTTATTTGATGTTACTGCAATTGCTCGGAGTTTTGCATAATGTGACATAAGCTTTGCAACTGATAATATTTGGTCAACAAGCTCTCGTGATGGCAAAAGAATAATTACTCGAGGGCGATTGAATCTTCTAGCTGTTGATTTTACTACTGTTTTAAGTTGTAATTCTTGTTCTAATTCCTTTTGGAACCTATCAACGTATTGTGGTTTTCCTTCCTCAGTCGGTACCTTAAGTATTTCTGTATTGATCTCTTCTCGTGTGTAGGATGTTGAGTGTGCTTCTTCCTCCTTTAATTTATTCACAATCGGTAGTAAATATGCCAAAGTTTTCCAGATCCTGTTTCTGCTGCGCATAATATATGTTTATTGTCCGTTTTTAAAATTTCGGGAATTGTTAACGCTTGAATTTCTGTTGGTAAGAAAGGTTTGACATCTTTCAATGCTCCTTGTCTTAATGCATTATATACTTCTTCACGTAATTTAAATGATTCAAATGTGAGATCTGATAATCGAGATTCTAATTTAGATGACTTAAACCTTTTCTTTAAATTTACAAGTTCCGTCGGTTGTTCGGTAAACATCTTTTCATTTGCTTTTTTGTTAAGTTCATTATCATGTGTGTTTGTTTGGTTTGTTTGACGTTTAGTATTAGTAGGAACTTCTCGTGATCTGTTATTATGTAAGATAAATAGGGTATTTTGTCATATTCAGTCAATATAAAAACTTTTTTTACTTTCGATCTGAACAAATTTTCTTGTGTCTATTTGTTATAAAATTTATGCTTATTTGGAATAAGTTTGACTTTAAAAATAATTTGGAGTGATAATGAGTGATAATGAAGGCTATACATGTATGATATATGAATTTTGAATTTTAGGGTGAATTGAAATTATTGATCAGAT